CAGAAAGCAGAGGTTGCAGTGAGCTGAGATTGCGCCACTGCACTCCATCCTGGGTGATGGAGTTAGACTCTATCTCTAAAAAGAGAAAAAAAGAAATGTGTTCAAGCAGCAAGTCTTTTCCTAGATTTATACCCAGAAGAATTAAAAACAAGAACTCAGAGTTCCTTGTACACCAATGTTCATAACAGTGTTATTTACAAAACCAAACAGTGGAAACAACCCAGATACCTTTTAACAGATGAATGGATAAACTGCCTTGTGGATGCAGCTTGAATGTCTCTAATCTGAAATTCAAAATGCTCTAAAATCGAAAACTTTTTGTGCTACCACATGAATCCACAAGTAGAAAACTCTACACCTGACCACATGTGATAGGCCACAGTCAAAACTTTGTTTTATGCACAAAATTATTTAAAATATTATGTAAAACGGCCAGGCGCAGTGGCTCATGCCTGTAATCCCAGCACTTTGGGAGGCCGAGGCGGGTGGATCACAAGGTCAGGAGATCGAGACCATCCTGGCTAACACGATGATACCCCGTCTCTGCTAAAAATACAAGAAATTAGCCGGGCGTGATGGCGGGCGCCTGTTGTCCCAGCTACTTGGGAGGCTGAGGCAGGAAAATGGCATGAACCCGGGAGGCAGAGCTCGCAGTGAGCCGAGACTGCACCACTGCACTGCAGCCTGGGCGACAGAGCGAGACTCCATCTCAAAAGAGTCCCATCCTCAAAATAACCTCACATGTGTTTGCAAATACTCTGAAATACCTCTGGTCCCGAGCATTTTGGATAACGTACACCCAGCCTCTACACACAGTGGAATGTCAGCCAGCCTTAAAAAGAAATGAAATTCTGACACACATTTCATTTCTTACGCTAAGTGAAATAGTCACAAAGTACTGCATGATTCTGCTTATATGAAGTACCTAAAATAGGTGAACTCAGAGACCGAAGTATAGAGATAACTAGAGGTTGGGGGGAAGGTGGGAATGAGTTACTATTTAATGGGTACAGAATTTTTCAGTTTGTGATGATAAAATTGCTCTGGAAATAGATAGTGGTAATGGTTGCATAACATCATAAATGTACTTAATGCTACTGAATAGTACACTTGAAAATGGTTGAAGTGTTGTTATTGTTTTTTTATTTTTTATGACACAGTCTTGCTCTGTCACCCAGGCTAGAATGCAGTGGCATGATCTCGGCTCACTGCAGCCTCCACCTCCTGGGTTCAAGTGATTCTTCTGCCTCAGCCCTCTAGAGTACCTGGGGTTACAGACATGAGCCACCATGCCTGGCTAATTTTTGTATTGTTAGTGGAGACGGAGTTTCACCATGTTGGCCAGGCAGGTCTCGAACTTCTGACCTCATAATCTGCCTGTCTCGGCCTTCCAAAGTGCTGGGATTACAGACATGAGCCACTGTGCCCGGCCTGAAGTGTTTAATTTTATATTGTGTATATTTTACCACAATAAATCCCTTTAAGTTCCTGGTTTTCTTTTGTTTTTGTTTTTGTTTGTTTTTAATCTACTACAGCTTTGTTAGATGACTTGGATAAAGAACTAAACAACTACATTATGCGATGTAGAGAATGGTACGGCTGGCATTTCCCTGAATTAGGAAAAATTATTTCAGATAATTTGACATACTGCAAGTGTTTACAGAAAGTTGGTGAGTAATTTGTTCATCCTTTAAGGCATTGAAAGTAAATGAATTTGATTGCATCCTAAAACATAACATATAGCATTTTGTTAAGCAAGATTCCCAGGGTTTTTGCAATTTCTATGTATTTGGGAAATGTAGCAATTTAGTGTCTTAAATTTAAGAAACAAAATGAATTTTAACTTAGATTTTGATGGCCTATGACATGACATTAGTACTTAATACTAAATAGCTGTATTTAGTGTTACAGACAGGATTGCTGTCTCTACTGTTAATATACAGAGGAACTTGATTGTTGATTTTTTGTTAATGTGCAAAGGAACTTGATTGATTCATGGTTTACTTGACTTACAAATTACTGACACCAGCTTTAGTATAAAATTGTCTGTGACATTATTATTAGTCCTGTCTTTTTAAATTTTTGCTACTTATTTTCTGTAATAAGTTTTGTGGCATATTTTGTCTTGTTTTTACTCTGATTATTTTTTGGAGGAAGGTGTTGGGGAGACATTTCATATCTAAACTTAAACCCTTAAATGAGGAAAAAAACTATTATACTAGGTCAAACTTCTTCATTTTTTTGTTTTGTTTAGGCATCCTTTTCATTGGCTTTCTACTTTTTCTTTTGACTGTTTGCTGGATTTTATATAATTTGTTGAAGAGTGATTCTCCCTCATCCTCTGCAAACATTCCACAGGCGATAGGAAGAACTATGCCTCTGCCAAACTTTCTGAGTTGCTGCCGGAAGAAGTTGAAGCAGAAGTGAAAGCAGCTGCAGAGATATCAATGGGAACAGAGGTTTCAGAAGAAGATATTTGCAATATTCTGCATCTTTGCACCCAGGTAAATTTTACTTCTGGAGAATCTAGTTGTGGTGTTACCAGCTCTATAATACTAATTTTTCTGATGGCAATGATGATTTACACTTACTGTTGTTCACCTGATAACATAAATATGAGGGTGTTCAGTCACTACCTCATCTGATGCCATCATGATTTGTATACTTAAAAGGGGGAAATACATATTAAAAGGAAGTAATTTACAATCATCGTCTGAATAATGAATTAACCAAAAATCAATTAAGACGGCAGAGAAGACGCCGGGCGTGTTGGCTCACGCCTGTAATCCCTGCACTTTGGGAGGCCAAAGTGAATCACCTGAGGTCAGGAGTTTGAGACCAGCCTGACCAATATAATGAAACCCCATCTCTGCTAAACATACAAAAATTAGCTGTGCGTGGTGGCATGCACCTGTAATCCCAGCTACTCAGGAGGCTGAGACAGAATCGCTTGAACTAGGGAGGTAGAGGTTGCAGTGAGCCGAGATGGCGCCATTGCATCCAACCTGGGCAAAAAGAGCAAAACTGCATCTCAAAAAAAAAAAACAAAAAAGATGGCAGAGAATTATGGATTGAGCTTTTTAATTCTGAGTTTTATGTCTATATCTTGCGATTTTTTTTTTTTCTTTCAGATTTGAAGATAGTCATATGGGAATTAAAGAGAGCATGACACAAATGTTTATTGCTTAGAAACTTTTTTTTTTTGGGAGACAGAGTCTCGCTCTATAGCCCAGGCTGGAGTGCAGTGGCACATTCTCAGGCTCATTGCTACCTCTACCTCCCAGGTCCCAGTTTAAGCGATTCTCCTGCCTCAGTCTCCTGAGTAACTGGGATTACAGGCACGTGCCACCATGCCCAGCTAATTTTTGTATTTTTAGTAGAGATGGGGTTTCACCATGTTGGCCAGGCTGGCCTTTTTTTTTTTTTTTGTTTGAGACGGAGTCTCGCTCTGTTGCCCAGGCTGGAGTGCAGTGGCCGGATCTCAGCTCACTGCAAGCTCCGCCTCCCGGGTTTACACCATTCTCCTGCCTCAGCCTCCCGAGTAGCTGGGACTACGCCCGGCTAGTTTTTTGTATTTTTTAGTAGAGACGGGGTTTCACCGGGTTAGCCAGGATGGTCTCGATATCCTGACCTCGTGATCCGCCCGTCTTGGCCTCCCAAAGTGCTGGGATTACAGGCTTGAGCCACCGCGCCTGGCCAGCCAGGCTGGTCTTGAACTCCTGACCTTGTGATCCACCTGCCTCGACCTCCCAAAGTGCTGGAACTACAGGCGAGAGCCATTGGGCCTAGGAGCTGCTTAGCGCTTAGATTTTTTTTTTTTTTTTTTGAGACAGAGTCTAGCCTGTCTCCCAGGCTGGAGTGCAGTGGCACGATCTCAGCTCACTGCAAGCTCCTCCTGCCAGTTTCATGCCAGTCTCTTGCCTCAGCCTCCCGAGTAGCTGGGACTACAGGCGCCTGTCACCAGGCCTGGCTAGATTTTTTTTGTTTGTTTTGTTTTTGTTTTTGTTTTTTTGATTTTTTAGTAGAGACGGGATTTCACCGTGTTAGCCAGGATGGTCTCGATCTCCTAACCTCGTGATCTGCTTGCCTTGGCCTCTCAAAGTGCTGGGATTACAGGCATGAGCCACTGTGCCTGGCCTAGAATCTTCTAAAAGTACAGTTACATTTTCAGGCAGTGGACTAGGTGGTTTACATACATTACGTAAGAAAGTCCTCACCATAGCCATTTTATAGAAAACTGATATTAGGATCACGACGTCACGAGATTGCACCACTGCACTCCAGCCTGGTGACAGAGCAAGACTCTGTCTCAAAAAACAAAAAGAAAACTGATGTTAGGCATAGTTGATGTACCCAGGGTTGTGTAGCTGCTCTTTCATGATTGAGGGCTCCAGTGTTTTAGACAGGAATTTTATACTGTTTTTACTCATATGATATTTGTGACTCACTTTATTCCTTATACTAGGTGATTGAAATCTCTGAATATCGAACCCAGCTCTATGAATATCTGCAAAATCGAATGATGGCCATTGCACCCAATGTTACAGTCATGGTTGGGGAATTAGTTGGAGCACGGCTTATTGCTCATGCAGGTGATGGTTTTAATGTAATTTGTAAATATGAGTGTTTGAAGTATTTTCTGGTTAGGATTTTGTTTACATCTTTAAACCACAGCTATTAAAGAAATTTTAGCTAATAACACAAAAGTAGATGGTATGTAGGAGATCACTAAGGGCCAAGTGTTCAATGATGATTTCTATTTGTTTGCCTGATTTCCTTTTGGATAATGAAGGCATCTTTAGTCACTACCTCTTCTGAGACACTTGTAGTCCATTGTTAGAAGTTTGTTATGGTTAATTAGAATAATCAGATGCATGCAGAAGGATAAAACAGTTAACATTTTCATAATAAAAACTCACTAGACCTAGATTTGAATACAGTTTTAAGAAATCACTGTAGAGGATTTATGCCCTCAATTGATTATCTTAGTTTCACTGTTGAGTGTGTGGATGTAATATGTTTGACTTTGAAAAATATTTGCAACAACTGATTTATAATAAAACTTTGTATATGTGTATGGCAGTATTATAAGGATGATATGCTATAATTAAAATGCTATGTAATTGAATACCTACAAATACAATGAAGTGCTGATTCATCATTTTTATGTTACTTGGAGACATTGTTATAATCCATCAAAAAAGATCCTATATCATCTGCATCAGAGTGTTTAAAACAGCATAACTCCTTTTTTGTTTGTTGGTTTGAGACGGAGTTTCAGTCTGTTACACTGGCTGGAGTGCAGTGGCTCACTGCAACCTCCGCCTCCCGGGTTCAAGCAATTGTCCTGCCTCAGCCTCCTAAGTTGCTGGAATTACAGGTGTGCGCTGCCACCATGCCTGGCTAATTGTTACATTTTTAGTTGAGACAGGGTTTTTGCCATGTTGGCCAGGCTGGTCTCAAACACCTGACCTTGGGTGATCTGCCCACCTCGGCCTCCCAAAGTGTTGGGATTACAGGCATGAGCCACTGCGCCTGACCTGGCATATCTTTTAGCTGCATCATTAATCAAAGATTTCATTCAAGTGCCCTCAGCTATAAGATCAGATGATTTCATTGCCTCCACCCATTTTAGGTACAGCTAAACTTGTAGCAGTAAGCAATGGCAGGGGTTAATAGAAGTATGTGTTTGTTGGCCAGGCGTGGTGGCTTACACCTGTAATCCCGACACTTTGAGAGGCTGAGGTGGGTGAATCACCTGAGGTCAGGAGTTCGAGACCATCCTGGCCAATATGGTAAAATTCCATCTCTACTAATAACACAAAAATTAGCTGGCCTTGGTGGCGTGAGCCTGTAATCCCAGCTACTCGGGAGGCTGAGGCAGGAGAATCGCTTGAACCCAGCAGGTAGACGTTGCAGTGAACCGAGATTGTGACATTGCACTCCAGCCTGGGCGACAAGAGCGAAACTCCATCTCAAAAAAAAGGAACTATGTATTTATTACACTTTTTAAACTATGTCTAGTGCTTAAATTCATAGCATTAATATTGAGTCTGTTTTCTGACAATAAATATTCTATTCAGCATATCCAACTAAGCAGCATGTTGATAACAATAGTCCCCAGCTATTTATGGGGATATATTCTAAGCTCTCCCTTCCAAGGATGTTTGAAACAGAGGATAGTACTGAACCCTATACTGTATATACTGTTTTTTCCTAAACATACATATCTACAATAAAGCTTAATTTATAAATTAGGTACAGTGGGATATGAACAACAGTAATAATAGAACAGTTATAACAATATTCCAGCAGCCAGGTGCAGTGGGTCACACCTGTAATCCCAGCACTCTGGAAGGCCGAGGAGGGTGGCTCACAAGGTCAGGAGTTCAAGATCAGCCTGGCCAAGATGGTGAAACCCTGTCTCTACTAAAAATACGAAAAAAATTAGCTGGGCGTGATGGTGGGCGCCTGTAATCCCAGCTACTCAGGAGGGTGAGGCAGATAATTGCTTAAACCTGAGAGGCAGAGGATACAGTGAACCAGGGTCGTGCCACTGCACTCCAGCCTGTGCGACAGCAAAACTCCATCTCAAAAAAAAAAAAAAAAAAAAAAAATCCAGAATAACAAACATTGAGCATTGTTTACTTGAATATAAGCACTGCAATACTACTGCACCACAGAGAGGGCTACAAAAGTGACTAATGGGTAGATAGGGATGGGGGGGCGCCGAGTGGGGCGGCAAGAGACTTAAAACCTAGTGTTCCTGTGTGTGACATTTATGTCACTCCTGTAGTACACTAATGAAATATAGAATGGTACTACCATCTCTCAGGTGAATAGAGACATTGGACTTAATAAGCTTAACCTTCAGTTTGTCCTAGGCATTCATTGCAAACCTGCTTATGCTAATGAAGGAATTACAAATGAAACATCAAGGTTTTTAGGGAACTCTGGATTATAGAATTCTATATTATATGTGATTTTTATTTATTGTGGTGGCTATAATATTGTATAGGTCTTTTGTTTTAGTACATGGAACATTCTTATATTTGAAGGTGCATTCTTTGTAACTTTTTTCTTTTATAGGTTCTCTTTTGAATTTGGCCAAGCATGCAGCTTCTACCGTTCAGATTCTTGGAGCAGAAAAGGCACTCTTCAGAGCCCTCAAATCTAGACGGGATACCCCTAAGTACGGTCTCATTTATCATGCTTCACTTGTAGGCCAGACAAGTCCCAAACACAAAGGAAAGGTGTGTTACAGGGTTTTGTTTTGTTTTTGAGGTTGGACTTCTTCATTTTTTACAACCCTTTTTTCTTCTGTAGTACACATTAAATCTTTCTATTGTCTCTTTCTCGTTACAGAATGGTGAGTTATTTAAATAAAAAGCACTTTGTGTACACTGAAGGATAAAGTTAGAAGAAATTGTTATTTGTTGATTTAAAGCCAGTTTCTTCATTGTGTTAGTACTTTTTTTTCCCCTAGGATCTCCCTGTGGTTGGCACACTGAAAATATTATCTCTGGCAGGAAAAAAAAA